ATAAAAATTACCTGATTCTGGCTCTTGACCATAATTGCATATTTTCATGAATTTTTATTATAACTAAATAGCATATTTGAAATTCAGGGACACATGTACTAAGATACCAAATCCAGGAGCAGGCCTAAAATCCCAGGCTACGGGAAGCAGAGTACTGGGCCAAAATGCAGTTTCCTGGGGCATGGTACTACCCCACTCTTGCGTTGAATCTCATATGAACTGTTGAAAAAGTTTATCTTACACCCAAAAGGTTTTCTAAGGGTCAATTCTCTGACACTTGTTAGAATAATAAGAAAATGGATTACAATTAGAACTATAAGTAGAACAGGGTGAAGGAAAAGAATATCATTTTAAAATTTGAGGAGAAGATGAAGATCTTATGAAGAAAATATTCATGATGGAGATTTGTAGAAATACTGATTTTAAGAGAGATCTTGCAACCAAAGGCTATGTCTACACTATGCGCTTATTTTGAAATAAACTATTTCAGAGTAATAACTCCCGGAACAGCTATTTCAAAATTACGTGTCCACACTACAAATGCCCATTGAAATATCGCAGATCTATATAGAAGTATCCCATACACACTGATTTGAGGCTGAATCGCATTTAAGGCCCCCTAGAAGCACTTCAAGCAAGGGCATCAGGAAAGCAGTCGCTTCCTAGAGCTGCTGCCTGATGCTATCTGAGGCTCATGCTCAATGGGACTCCCTTCTACAGCCGTGTCTCAGGCTCTTCATCTTTATCTGCCTCCTTGAGGGACAGTGAAGCCTTTTCACTGCCTGCTCTGGTTGCCCTTATGGACACCACAGTGTTCCAGCCATGGAGCCAGACCTGCTGCAATGTACTTGCTAGCACTTAGGCCTCTAGTCTGCAGGCTGCCCACGTGACACTGCAGGAACAGGACCTACAGCTCACTGCAGGGCACCTCCTCACCTCTTTTCACATGCTGCTCGTGCAACACAGCCCCTCCCACTTTCCCCTGCACACCACACACTGTCTCCTGGAGCAGTGGGACAACCAACAGTAGCTCCAGAACTTCTGCATGCGGAAGGACACCTTCCTGGATCTGTGCGAGTGGCTTGCCCCTGTCCTCAAGCAATGGGACACCCACATGAGACCCACCACCCTCCTCCAGAAACGAGTCGCCCTCACACTTTGGAAGCTTGCCACACCGGACAGCTATCGCTCTGTGGAGAATCAGTTCAGCATGGCGAGATAGACCATTGGGGCCATGCTTATGCAAGTATGACTCTCTTACTGTTCTCCCAGGAGGGTGCTGAACTGCTGGAATGGGGCTCCCTTGGGACACTGCCTCTCTGAAGGTTTTGCAGTCCTACCTTCTCAAAGCCCTGATGGAGCTGCTGAATTTGGGGGTTGCTCCTGCTGTGGAAGGGACTTAGGCTCGGGGAATTCCTGAGGGCTCTGGCAACCCTGTGATTCTCTGTTTGTATCCTCTTACAGGTGATGAGAGCCATCAACACCATCCTGCTGTGTAGGGTCGTCATCATGGCTGGCTTTGCTGCCATGGGCCTTAACTGTCCAGGGGGTATTGATGGCACCCTCATCCCTGCCAGGGCCCCCGATAACCAGACCTCCAAGTATATCAACCGAATGGAGTAGTTTTTAGTAGTCCTGCAGGCCCTCATGGATCACAGAGGCCAGTTCACCAACATCCACGTCAGGTGGTCGGGGAAGGCATCTTTAGAAATTCCAGTCTGTTCCAGAAGATGCACACTGGCACATTTTTCCCTGACTGCACCATTAGGGTCAGGGGCCGTGGACATGACGAGGTGTATCATGCAGGATGCAGCCTACCTCTTTCTCCCCTGGCTAATGAAGCCCTACACTGGATACCTGGACCCCCCACCAGGGAATGTTTCTATGTCAGGCTCAGCAGGGCCTGCATTGTGGTGGAGGGTGCCTTTGGGCATTTGTCGGGAGGTTCCTGCCTGGACCTTGGAGAGCGGAATGTTCCCCAGGTGGTGTCGGCCTTCTGTGTCCTGCACAGCCTGTGTGAGAACAAGGGGGAAAGGTTCTTGCCAGGCTGGGGGGCAGAGGCTTGCAAGGACCTTTGAGCAGTCATGCAACATTGCCATCCAGCAAGCCCATCAGGGGGCTGTATGCATCAAGAGGCCATGAGGGAGAGTTTCAGACAAAGACACCTGTGACACTCTCTCCTGGGCCTCCCCACATAGGGCCTATGTATTGCCCCTCTGTGCTTTTCCTATCTTTTCCCTTGGCCTCCCTTCACACCTTTCCTTTTCCCTCCCCTCCCGCACAGAAACAATAAACCACAGTTTTGTTTTGAAAGAATAAACTGTTTTTTTTTAATTTGGGGGTCAATATAACTGGGAAGGGACTGGTGAAAGAACCAGAGAGTGGGGAAGAGAGGGCTCAATTCTTTACCTTTCATGCGCACCTGCTCCTGGGTGCGCACGTGGCTCTCCTGGCCCAGGCTGTCGGCCTTAGATATTAGCATCCCTGTGCCTGGTGTGGTGTGGTTAGTCTCCTCTCCCCAGACCTCAGTAGGATCCAGGATCTCTGCACCAGACCAGGATGGTGCTCTCCTCTTCTGCCCCGAGCAGGGGCTTCGGAGCGGGCTGCCCGCTTGTTAGCAGCCCTGTGGGGCTCAGTGGGAGCACTGGGTTCAGCCATTGCTGCACACAAAGGTGGTGCTGCGTGGCATAGGGCTGGCAGGGCCTTCCTTCTTCCACAAGACCTTTCTCCTATGGCTGCAGCTTTAAAGCCTGCAGAGGAAGGGGAACTATAGAGTTCTGGTAGGTGTGGACAGAGTGGCCACCAGGACAGCTTTGAGAAGCCCTGGAGGTCAATTATCCCAAATTAACCACAGCTTCCCCATCTACCCACACCCTATTTTGAAATAACTATTTTGAAATGGGTGTTATTCCTTGTAAAATGAAGGTTTATTATTCCGGAATAAGAAGCCCATTATTTTGAAATCATTTCATGAGTTATTTCAATATAAAGATGTTAAGTAGACATGCCCAAAGTGAATAGTGACACTATTGCAGTTAATTTGAATGAATTCTTCTGTTGTCATTTCATCTCAGCTAACATTAAAGGCAGTAGAGAAAATAAGAAGCACAAATAAGAAGGATTTGAAACTTACACACTAACAAGCCCATTGATGTATACAAGAATTCATAGTAGGACATCACAGTTATTCTTTGGAACATTATTTTTGCTACATTTCTCTAGTGACTTAATGCACATGAATATGGTCTGGTATGTAACATAAAGCACGTGTGTGTATCCTACCTACTGTAGTATCTTACAAAAGGGACCATTTGAACCAGAGCCCTGTTGATCATTGTGTCTAAGCGATTCATACATACATATCCAGGAATTGGTAAGATTTTCAAATAAGACATATGCAAAGAAAAAAAATGTTGTGAAGGAAAAAAAATGTTGTGCAGCTGAAAATATGGAAGACCTCACCTCTGGTCTCAGCCTTACAAAGGATTCCCAAGCATGAAAACTATACATGAGGCAATCTCTTGAGAACCAGTGGCAATGGCTTTTAGAATTTATCAGCTTTTTTATCCTTAATGCTGACTTCCCCTGTATAGATTTGGGTCAAAAATATTTTGATGAAGAAAAGGGACAAACGTTTCACATAAATGTTCATGAAAAAATGTCCTGCTTTTTACTGGTTTTACTAGTGGGTCTGCATACAGTTTTACAGTGTATACAAACACACTTCAAGGAAAATCCACACTGTCCCAGTCGTTCTTCCAGGGTTCGATTTAGCGATGTACTGAAGACCCGCTAATTCAAACTCAAAGGGTGCCCATGTCAGCACTGGTACTCCTGCTCCTCACGAGGAATAAGGGAAGCTGATGTGAGTGTTTGCTCCTGTCAGCATCCTGCTGTGTGGACGGTGATTTAAGATACTTTGACTCCAACTATGTAATTTACATAGTTGAAGTTGCGTATCTTAAGTTGACCTTCCCTTTTAGTGTAGACCAGGCCTCAGAGTATACTGATTCATATTGAGAGATTGCTGGAAATATCTGAAATTATTTACCCTTGCTCAGTTATTCTTATGGCCAATCCTGTGCTCAACCAAATATGCGTGCCCTGTTCATCCTTACTAAGGAACATGAGGAATGCGATACATTCAGCCATTGGCAGAGAAAGAGGGAGCAAAGCACTCCATTCTTGAGACACCTCATCTAGCCCACACAGGGAGTCCAGTTTTGCATTTGGTAGCACTGGAGAGAGCCACAAGCAGCCTTGGACAAAGCCATGAGTATACTGACGTGGGATCTTTGATTGCTGAGAGAGCAAACGCTGATGAAAATTACAGAGCATCTCTATCTAACAATTCTGTTTGGCATTCTCTCTCTTTTGTTTAGGGTCTTATTCTTGCCTCCTCTTATCTCCTGTTTGTTATTGATCTTTTTGGTGCCATGCAGTGCCAGTGGTACATTTAAAACCTATGTACATGTATTTTTCAAAATAGGTGTTGCTCCCATAATGATTGTCAACAACTAGTCTTGCTTAATCAGCTGGAAAATGTCACAAACAAGAGTTCTTAAGGGAGTCTGAAAAACCCAAATTAATTGCCACTGTAGGTTAAATGTATCAGATACCAAAGGTTTTAAAAGCCAGGAGAAAATGGGGACATATGTGTGGTGTCTCTGAGTCAGATTGTTCCATACAGGATATGGAAAATGTAAATGACAGGCATTTTGCCATGTACAGAAGCATTCACCATAGACAGAACATATGTGTGTGTTAGAAGCAATGAAGCCAAAAATGACATTTAATTATAACTGGCATAGTATACCCTCACTAGTCATATATATATATATTTTTTTCTTGGTTATCAATAGGAACACATTGTACGTCTCATGACACATAGATTAGTCTCTTTGTAAGATTAGTATTAAGCAGTCGCCAAATTCATTCATTTGAAAAACACTGAAGACTTTTTTTTAAAATGTTGAGGTGGAAATGATGTGTATTTGCAGGGTGCTGTGATAACACCAACAATGGACCACACCATGTCAATACAGCCAGCAAGCATGATGGGCCCTCTGACCCAACAGATGAATCACCTTTCTTTGGGCACAACAGGAACGGTAAGTTTTGAGAATATGTTACGTCGTTTCTATTTTACAAAATGTGTTATTAATGTCTGAGTTCTCAAGGTCATTTCCTCTCATTTGAGTGTCCAATATTTCATTCTTTTTCTTTTAATATTTCCATGGCTCCTTTTTTGGCTTATTAATTTTTAACAGTTACATAGAAGATCTATTATATCCTTTATGTGAATTTTTCATAATATTTCACATCATGGCACTCCAGGCCTGTTTAACTCATAGGGAAAAAATTAACCATCTTTAACATAGTATAGTAGTTCATTCTATGAGTCTTGCTGTCATTTCTCTGGTGTATGGTGTATTTGTTTCTTCCTTATACTGTTATTTTACATACTTTATTGTGTCATCTATCCTTCCAGATCTGGTTCAAGTGAATTCCAACCTCAGTGGGTTTTTTCCCCTATTTTTGTTGATATATCAGACTTCATTCATCTTTCAGGATGCCTGAATATGCTGGTTCCTCAGTCTTTGCCATCTGTTTTATATGTTTCAGCCAATAAACAAAGCAAATAAAGATATGGTCTCAGTGGTTTTCTCACTATTATTATTTTCATTGGGCACAGGAACCTAAGGGAGGCGATTGTGGCTAGTAAGAATTTCTGTAAAGAAGTGAAGCTTGAGAAGATTCTTTAGTTTATTTAGACCAGCCTTTATGATTCCCTTGGGTGTGAACCATGGCAACTCCAGCCAAGCTAAGAAAAAGAATGCTACTCTGATTATCTCAGTTGAACCACATTTTGTGAACAATCTAAGATGTGAACTAAAAATTTCTGCTGTGCTCATATTTTTAAATTCCTCCTTTAAAAGTTTGCAACAAGGGGCTACAGTCGCAGGATATCTTTCAACCAGCTTGTTTTCAACAAACCAGCCAAAAAGTCATAAACAGTTCTGCTTCGTGTCGGAAGCAATCCGTCTCAATTTAATCTTAAGAGATTCCAATATGGAAAAAAAATTATTTAGAAGTCTTTTAGACATTTACTTCCTTAGACGAGCCATTTTCTGACCAGCGTAAAATACCTTTCAGCCAAAAAGCTGCCCTGGATGTGCCCAAATAAAGAATTTGCTCTAAACCTGATTGCAAGCCGCTGGTGCACGAAGGACTGTATGTTTCCAAAATGCTGGTGTTCAGCCCCTTCTGCAGCCAGCTCCACACAAGGGGGGAAGATCGCCCATAGTGTGGATTTGGCTGCGGTTGGGGTTGCAACCCTGCATTTTGGAAACATACAGTCCTCACCCAGAAGAGAACAGCAACCCTGGAGTGACTAGCATCCCCTGTGTACTACAGAAAGTATCTTTTCACTGAGTCCAAGTAGTGTAAAGGCTTGTAGGCATTGGCTCTTTGGGTGCTTAGGGGTTCAAGCACTCATGGGCTACGTCTACACTGGCCCCTTTTCCGGAAGGGGCATGTTAATTTCAGCCATCGTAGTAGGGAAATGCGCGGGGGGATTTAAATATCCCCCGCGGCATTTAAATAAAAATGTCCGCCGCTTTTTTCCGGCTTTTAGAAAAGCCGGAAAAAAGCGGCGGACATTTTTATTTAAATGCCGCGGGGGATATTTAAATCCCCCGTGCATTTCCCTACTACGATGGCTGAAATTAACATGCCCCTTCCGGAAAAGGGGCCAATGTAGACGAGCCCATGGAGAACAAACAGGATGTTCTGAACTCACAGGGCTAGCTGGGGCTGCTACTCAGGTGGCCTTGGGGCTGGCTACCAACCAGCTCGTTTCACGAGTCATAAGGGATCGGTTGGCAAAGGCTTCCCCAACCGACAGATCCACGTGTAGACTGCCGCGCTGTGTCAGATCAGCTGATCGTCGGCACAGCGTGGCGGCCATGTTTATTTTAATGAAGCGGGGATCATTTAAATCCCCACTTCTTTGACTATGCCGAATAAATTAATTTACATGGCTCTGTTGACGGAGCCATGTAGTCTAGACACACCCTAGCAGTGAACAACAGCAAGTTTTATTGGCTCAGGAAAGATCCTCCATATTCTTGAGTGCCATCTATTACCATCTTAGGGTATGTCTACACTACCCCGCTAGTTCGAACTAGGAGGGTAATGTAGGCATACCGCACTTGCAAATGAAGCCCGGGATTTAGCGCGGCTACACGGGGCTCGAACTAGGTAGTTCGGACTAGGCTTCCTATTCCGAACTACCGATACACCTCGTGTACCGGTACACCTAGGAAGCCTAGTCCGAACTACCTAGTTCGAGCCCCATGTAGCCGCGCTGCACGGGGTTCGAACCAGCGGGGTTTTAAAAATGGCGGCTCCCCGCTTATGCAAATGAAGCCCGGGAAATTCAAATCCCAGGCTTCATTTGCAAGTGCGGTATGCCTACATTACCCCGCTAATTTGAACTAGGAGGGTAGTGTAGACATACCCATATGTAGTAATGATCAACTATTTACATATATTTAGCGCTCTCTCTTATACAGAGTACTCCTGCAACAAAACGTATTGTATGTAAAGCCACTGAGGTGGCAGGCCAGGAGAGTGACTGGAAATCTCTATTTACTCAGATCCATTGGTTCCTGTATCCTTCTCCTGGAAAGTACAGCTACAGCAAATTGTCCAGCCCATAGGCTGGTGTAATTCTGGGAGGATGAGACTAATGACGGCAGTTCCAAAGAAGCTTTATATCATGACCTTGAGTTGTGAATGTAGATTCCCCCCTCGCCTCTCCTCACTTGCCATGCTCTGCACTTTATGCACATACAACCTCAATACTCATTGAAAATATAGTTTACAGCAACAGGGGTGCTGGCAGCATCTGCAGGCTCCAGGGCAAGGGGGGGCTGCGTACTTCTGGAAGGGGTGGAGAATCTGGCAGAAGAGGCAGTCAGCCCTCTGCGATGCTTGGAGCATGTCATGGCAGCCCCCCAGACCAAAGAACTTCCTGGAGTGTGTAGCACAGCACTCTGGCAGCGATTTAAAGCTTCCGGGGCTCCAGCCACAGTAGCGGCAGCAGAGGCCTGGAGTCCTGGGCCCCTTTGAATCTCCTGAGGCAACTGCCTTCTTCCTTTCTTCCTTCCCTCCTCCAATCAGGAGGCCTGAATACAGTGACAAATGGGATGGTAGCACATCTCTGCCTGGAATCAGGAGTTTCACAGGAAATATGCCAGAGAACAGAATTCAGCTATCTCTTCACTCAAAAATAGCAGGAAACATTTGCATAGGTGTGCTGACTGTGCAAGTAAAGGAAACTTGAGTGTAAATAATATCACAATTGTGACAGAACCGAGACAACCCTAAAAATTCTGATTAAGGCTGACAATTCCTCCTCAGCGCCTGCTGTTACAATAAAAAGGAAGGCGCAAAGGCTTAACCTAAGGAGAGAGCCAGTTTTAACCCTGAATTTCGCTCTCCATTACCAGTTTATAATAAGTATGACATATATTCTAGTAAGCCTTGATTTCCTTATATGCATCCACAAGTAGCTTTTTTCTTCAAATGGTATTTTACTGATATAGCGCAGGGAGTGCATCTGCTCTGTATGGAAACACTGAAAGAATAGCATACGTGAGCATTTAATAATATATGGATGCTGGAATTGTTCCATCATCATCCTGTCACTCAAAATGTTTCTAACACTGTCATTGATCTGATGTCTGTTTTGCAGTTCAATGCAAGTCGTGATTGATAGCTTGGGTGGAAAACAATATAAAAACCCTTTAGAAAAACAAAGCTGTGCAGCCTGATCACAGCTTTCAGTCCCTACTGCTGGGCTCCTTTTACATTGGCAGTGACACTTGCAGCCATCAGCGGCACACATCTGCTATTTGAATGGAAAAGAATATTTGCTGTCTATGTCCCCTCTAAATCTCATTCCTGAAGGAGGCTTTATCGTCGGTACCCTGTTGCTTTTATTTTCAATTTGCATTTAAGGTGATGCTTTGGTTCCACTTATATCCCACATTCTGAGGCAGATTCCCTCGCCCCTCATTGGCAGATGTGCTTTTCTGGACATTTTTTTTTCTCTTTTGAAATTACTTCAGTGTAGCCCTATTTTATTTCAAACTTTTTGGGTCCATGCCAAGGGGAGAGTGAGTGGAAGCCAGATTTTAGACTGAAACTGCTTGCTCAACTGTGCTTTTTAATTGTTCTTCACACTCACAACTGGGCCATGTTAGCTTTGGCTTGCTTATTTAAAAGAAAATAGGAGAAACTTGCAGCACAAGCTCTTGATTCTTCTTTATAAATTGTACTTTTTACATTGTTCTGGATACCTCTGTATAAAATAATCAGTTGTGTATAAAAATTATACTAGTTTATCTCAGGGCTCTGATGATATTGCAAACCATCCTAACTCTGCTTTCATGGTTTACAATGTCACCCGAAATCCCTTGATGGAATAATAGGCATGTTATTCTGGTACATCATTTCTTATCTCTTATTTTGTTCGCTATTTCTGTTGCCACTAGAGCTTGATGATATCTCTAGAGCCTCTCAATGGAACAAGCTTGTTACAAGTTTCTTATCTGTTATTTCCTTTGGATACTTATATGGTCACTGGAGGTTTACAATGTCACCAAAAGCTCTCAATAGAATAAACGGCTTGTTTGTTTTATTAATCTTCAGTTCTTCTCGCTCTTGCTTTGGCCATGCAAAGTATATGATGTCACCAAATTCCACTAATGTTCAGAACTTCATTCCAAAATGATCTTGTCTGTTATTTTAATCATACATCATGTGGATTTCTAGGAGCAACATTTCTTTACAGTCTTAATCTTGAATCTCCCTGTTTTTGTTTTACTCTCTCCGTTATTGGCTTGGAGAGTACAAAACTGGGCCAACAGCAAATGAAGTTAAAGTATGGTGCAAGCTGATACTAAGTAGATCACCCTTATCCTTTTTCTCAACCTAGGTCCTGGGCAAATGAAAAAGATTAGCTGCATATTGCAGTTTGGGGAAACAGATTCTTTCAAAGATAAATTAAACTCTTTGGCAAAGACTAGGATAATCTCTGTAA